ACACACACACACACACACACAGTGGGGCAAAAGTGGGTTTACAGTTTTAAGTACACGAAACAGTTTATTCTTATGTTATTATTTATTGTATTATTTTCCTTATGAACAACTGTAAACCTACTTTTGCCCCACCCTGCATATAACTCACCATTTATTTACCCACTCCCATATTGTTGGACATTAAGGATTTTTCACACTTTTCACTATTGTAAGTAATCATATGAGAAACATACTTGGCTGTATATCTGTTAATTAGTATAAATTTCTAGGAGTGGTATTTCAGGGTAAGGATATATTTATAAGGCTTTGGCTACACATATATTTTACTGGTTTCTTTTTCTTTGTACTTATTATTTCAAAATAATTACAGACTCACAAGAAGTTGCAAAAATGGCACAGAGACGTCCCTTGCACCTTTCCCCAATCTTTCCTCAATGATAACATTTATAATGCATTATCCTATATAATAAAAGGGCAATATGCAAATAGACCAAACGGCAGAACAACTGGTCGCTATGATGCACACTGAAGACCAGGGGGCAGACACTCAATGCAGAAGCTGCCCCCTGGTGGTCAGTGCACTGCCACAGCGGGCGTGCCTCTCAGCCAGAAGCCAGGCTGATGGTTGGTGAGCGCAGCAGTGGTGGCAGAGCCTCTCTTGCCTCAGTGGCAGCTTTAAGGATGTCCAACTGCCGGCTTTGGGACATCCCCTGAGAGCTCCTGGACTGTGAGAGGGTGCAGGCTGAGCTAAGGGACCCCCTCCCCCCACCCCCAGTGCACGAATGTCGTGCACTGGGCCTCTAGTATAACTATAATACATTATAAGTAGAAAATTGACAGTGGCACAATAACCAGACTACAAACTTTACTTGGGTTTGACCAGCTGAATTATTTTTTAATATTAATAGGATGATAAGATGCATTTTTATTTTTCTACTTTCCCCTCTCATATTCACTTTAGAACTTCCTTCTAATCTTCTGTAGAGGAGGGAATACAACTGTATTTACTAGACCGCTGTCTTTATTGAAAATCAAGAGGAAGAAATGCAAGTCAGAACCTCTCACCAAAACCTCTCCACCAGTTCTGGAGCAGAAAATGGGTTGGTTCTTCCTTCCTTTTGATTCTTTGCAGACATCCCACTTCCTTTGTGAACAGTTTCCCAAAGCCGGGGGTATCCAAACACAAAATGAAGAACATGGAGTTGCACAATGAGAAAGTTCCTCATTTCTCCTCCACTCCTCTGATTACATCATGGAGAAAGCCTCATCTTAGGACTAGTCTTTAATGCCCTTCTAACATTTGCTAACCATTCCTTTGTAACAAATTGCTTAGGCCTCAAGTTCAGGTCTAAGCAGGTAGTAGAATTTAATGAATTCAATGGCATTGTACTATTTTAATTAAGTGTGCATTTACTTTCTGCCTTCAAATTGCAGCAAATTAAACTAGTGTTCCATTTACTGATGCACATCTGCCCGGATACAATTTTGTAAGAACACAATTTATTCATTTATAAACCAATTCAAAGTCATTGATTAAGCATCACTGCCTGCCAGTCACTGTGGTAACTATGAGGGACAGAGCAGTGACAAGACACATAAGAGCCTTGCTCTCTTAGAGTTTACAGTCTGTTTGGGGGAAACCAAGCATTAAATAAATTATTGTAACTTAGTTACTGAATTACAATTGTGACACCTGTTATGAAGGAGAAGGGTAGGATTATAAACTAGTCATGAGAATCAAGAAAGGCTTCCCTGCCCCAACTGGCGTGGCTCAGTGGTTGAATGTCGACCTACAAACCAGGAGGTCACAGTTTGATTCCCAGTCAGGGCTCATGCCCGGGTGGCGCTAACCCCCGCTGGGGACCTCTTTTTATGGGGGGGGGGGGGGGGGCGGGGCGTGCAGGAGGCAGCCGATCAATGATTCTCTCTCATCACTGATGTTTCTATCTCTCCCTCTCCCTTCCTCTCTGAAATCAGTAAAAATAAATTTTAAAAAAGAAAAGCTTCCCTGAGGAAGTGGCATTTAAGCTAAAATTTGGAGGGGAGGGGATGAAGAAAATGAAGGTGTGGTGAGGGGAGTGCCCAGAAGAGAGGAGGAGAAAGAGTATAACTGGAAAGTATATTGCACACAGAAAGAAAAACATAAACAAAAACCCTGTGGCAGAGAAGTGTAAACGGCCCTGAGAAAAGAGAGCAAGCCAGTGGAATGGAGTGAGTGGGTGAGTAGCGGGGAGATGTGGGGTTAAGTGAAGGCAGGAGAGGTAGGCCTGTTAGGTGAGAAGAAGGATCTAGATGTTATCCTATGGTCAATGGGAACCCACAGAAGGGGAACAATAGGATCAGCTTTGCCTTTTTTTTTAAAAACGTATATCAAGATACATTTGTAAATACAAGCAGCAGAAGCTCATAAATGTCACACACGTATTTTTTTTAAAGCACAGTGTGTAATCACTACATAACAGTGCAAATATAAACACGAGTGTTGATGGGGTGGGAGCAGCGGGGTGGTGGGCCGAGCTGGAGTCTGGGAAGGCATGCGTAAGTCACTTTTTTGTTTGTTTCTGAGGACTAATGTTCATCTGATTTGACGCCAAGGTAGCATTTGGATAAGCCAGGATAAAATCCCCATTTAAAACACGCCCCCTTCGTCAGAAGCTTCAAAAGAAAATTTCTCAAATTTCCACCAAGACGAACCTCACATGTGGGTGGTGTTGGGGACCACCCACAAGGTGTGATCTGTGAAGTGCTGGAAGACCACTCCTGTTCGGTGTAAACTCTCTCCTCCAGTGGTGCCTAAGATGCTACCATCACGATTCTGTTCTGCCGAATCTTCCTTCAGTTACCAAGTATGCTAGCACAGAGCAGCCCCCTGGGTCCATCCTGCCTTCCTGGGGCAGAATGCATTGTTTCTGTTTCCTCAGGGATGGGAGGGTTTGAAGCTTTTTCAGACCACTAACCACAGAGAGCATGGAGGGGCCAGGAGACTGGGCAGGGTCCAGAGAGTGACCGTCAAAGGAGCCCAAGTTCCTTTGACGTCATCCCTTCGTTTGGGGCTGGCCCTGTGATCAGCTGGTGTGTACGCTATGGACATAGGTATAAATGTGTGTGGATTTATACAGCACAGGTATATGGATATACTTAGGGCATGTTCATGACTTTATAACATGGGAAGCAATCATGGGAAGCAATACAGGTCCTGGGATTGGACCCACCTGGGTTCAGATCACAATCTCTATAACCCTAGGAAAGTCACGGAACCTATCTTATGGGGCGGTTGGGAGGATGTAGAGATAATCTGTTTGAAGTCTTGGCACTGGTCCATGGCATACAGCAAGTGCCACACAGAAGTTACTGTTAGGGTTGTGCGTGTGCTTGTCCCTGTGCAAGCATACGTGTGCATGTGCATATAGGTGCAGATTTGGGCGTCTAAGGGAGTGTGTTTAAGAACAAGAGAGGAAAGGAGGGAGAATGTTGCCCGCCTGCGCCCGCAGCAGTTCAGACACCAGAGCAGACCTGGGGGGTGGGGGGCAGCTCCCAGAGAAAAGAGCTCAGCTTTGCCCAGTGGGAATGAGGAGGGACAGCAAAGGGCCTCAGCCTGCCAGAGGCTTCCTGATGCGCACAGGATCTATAAAAGTGGAGGGATGAGAGAATGTTGAAGCTCAAAAAAACCCTCTATAAAAGGAGATTTTTTTTAAAGGAGTTAAAAATGGTCTCTAAAATTGACGAGTATCCAAATTAGGCCTCTAATTTGCGCCAACCTGAAGCTCTCCCCTATCTTGAGCTTCATTTATGTTTCCTTTTTCGAAACTGATTTGGAAGAACTTTGGAAAATGTGAACCACTACAATCTGTTCTCAGGCCTCTCGTTCCCCTCTTAAGATCTGCCCAAGGAGCTGTATCTAAGTGCTTTCTGCATCATAAAGATAGGCCGTCCTATGTTGAGAGAGAAGACCCAGGAAAAAGCAACACCCAGTTTTTAGTCCAGGTTCTGCCCTTAACTCACTGGGCAACTTCAAGGAATCTCTTGATCTCTCAGAGTGTGGCTGCTTCATCTGCAAAAGGCGTTGATTGGTCCATTTGGGTGATTATCTTTTGACTTCCTGACATAGCAGAGGAGGGTTAGCTCCCTTCAAATATCTCTCCTCCCCTTAAAGCTGTATCACCATATGACATCGTAGTTAAGAGTGCAGACCACCTGCCTCCTGCTAGCTGTGACTCCTGGGATGAGCTATTTAATCTCTCTGTGTCTTAGTTTTGTCCTTTGTAGAAGAGGGTAAAGAAGAGAGTAGTGTATCATCGAGTTGTTAAAAGGATGAAATGAGTTGATAGAAGTGAAATATTTAGAACAGTGCTCGGCACAGGTAAGGACTACTCTAGTTTTGAGTAATATTATTATTATTTACTTTATGAAATAACTTTAACTTTACATGAAACAATGCCATTGATAAATCAAAAAATAAAAGTATAAGCATTATTTGGGGCTATGAAAAGTCTCTAGGGGGTCGAGGGAGAGCTGGGACCATTGCTTTTTCTTTTTTAAAACCCTATTGTGCTTTGATTTTTGAAGGATGTGTATGTACTACCACGACACTTTTTTTTTTTATTTAAAGAGACTGAACAAAAAGATCACGGAAGTCCCTCTCAAATCTCTAAATTCAAGAACTGGCTACAATTATTAAGAAGCAGTACTTTTTGGGTGGCCTTTTCAAGAACTTCTTATAAAGGTTTTAAATAAGCACAATCACCTTCTCGTGTTTATAACTGAACGTGTTTCCACTTCTTGGATAGGAGAGAAACTGAGAAAGGTGAAAACATAAACTGTAAATACTAGGCCTTCAGGGATGACCTAGACTTTGCCCCTTAGAATCTTTTCCCAGAAATTGACTCAGTTACAGAAAGGAAGGATCAGTAGCAGAGAACGAACTCAAAGAAAACCTGCTGCTGGCCGCCCAGCGGTGAAAGGGTTAACTGGGCTGGGCAAGGCGATCCCTTGATATGAGTAAGACTCAGAGTTGTTAAAGTTTTCAAAGCAGAGGCAGCGGCTGGCAGGCAGCGTGGCTCCTGGCTCCGGGGAAAAGCGAGTTGGAGGGAGCCTGACAGAGCAAACCGAGGATCAGGATCCAGCTGAGCTAAACTCAGCTGGGGTTACAAGCTCAAGGTTAGTGGCTGCCGCACACCTCCCCAGCGCTGACATCTTTGGGGAGTTGTCTCGGGAAGGCGAGGCGCCATCTCTCATCCTGGTGTGTCAGGTCTGCTCAGCTTCCTAGAGCGCCCCCCCCCCCCACCTCCTGCCCAACCTCCCGGCTGCTGCCTTCACCCAAGCCTAGGCAACAGCAACAGTGAGGGACAGCTGACCTATTCCCAGGAGGCTTTTCTAAAGGAAACTTTCTGGACACACACACACACACACACACACACACACACACCTGTATACTCTGCTCCGTCTTGTTATTTACGCAATACAGAATTGCTATCTGCTTCAGTTGAAACTGAGAACAACTGTCAAAGTAACTAAACAGGCTGCTTGACTTTATCTTGTGGGAGGAATACTGCCTCTGAGGCTATGGTCTCTGTCTTTGAAAACCGGTTTCTGGTCGCTTTTCTTGTACCTTTGCTAGAACAGAGTGCAGGGGGAAGATGCACTGTAAAGGAAATATTTCTGCATCTGCATGAGCTTCAGATAAACGTATCCACGTAACCTTAACTTACCTGCATGTGCTGCAGATGATAAACTTAAACCTCGGGGAGGGAGGACGGGGAGATAGTAGCAGCTCCACACACACTGCATTCTGAGGGCGCTCTGAATGACAGCTGAGACTGCCCGTCTGGAGGGGTACAGGACCCCCTTCGAGCCTGGCTGGGAGAGGGCATGGGGGTGCCACTTCCTAGGCCAGTGTTGTCTCCATGCTCTCGCCTTGCACATGGGAGGCAGTGAGTAAGTTGTCGCTGAGCTGAATGCTCCCTCGGATCCTCCAGCAGCAGGAGTCGGTCTTGTACCTGCCAGCACTGAATCAGAATGAGTCACTGAAACTTGGGTGCTGGCACAAAGTGCTCGCAAACTGCCTGGTGAGACACTGCCTCCATGTAGGTGGAATCTCTCTCTCTCTCTGAGCACTCACATTTCTCCTCTCTCCCTCTCTCCCTCAAACAGGCAGGAGTTTAGACGCTCTTAAGAGCTCGTCTCTGCTCCCTTGGCTCGGCTGACCCTACCATGTGGCCTCTGCCCCTCCGGGTCGGGACTAGCGTTTTAAAATAAGATGGATGATTTGACGTTACTTGATCTCCTGGAGTGCCCCGTGTGCTTGGAAAAGCTCGATGTCACAGCCAAAGTCCTCCCTTGCCAGCACACCTTCTGCAAACCATGTCTCCAGAGGATCTCCAAGGCCCACAAGGGGCTGCGCTGCCCCGAATGCAGAACCCTGGTGTTTGGCAGCATCGAGGCGCTGCCGGCCAACCTGCTGCTCGTGCGCCTTCTGGACGGCGTGCGCTCAGGGCCGAGCTCCGGGAGAGGGGGCTCCTTCCGCAGGCCTGGCGTGCTGGCCTTGCAGGACGGCAGGAAGAGCAGGACTCACCCCAGAGGTCTGCAGGCCAGCCCGTTCCGACTCGTGCCCAACATCAGAATCCACATGGATGGGGTAAGCAAGATCTCCTTTGTTCTTTCGTGTCCACCTGGAGGCTGGATTTGTGTGTGACAGCAGTTAGGGTTTATCGCTTTCAGTTACGTTTCAAAAGCGGTGCCGCCAGGATTCCTGAGAGATGAGTTTCTGTGGGCAGTGATCCTTCGACTGAAATTTGGTGGGATCCTGACCTATCTAATCCTTCCTGTGATTCTTAGAATTGTGAAAGCTTCCTGGTCCCTCGTGCAGACGGTAGTAGGATAAGGAAAGCCTCCTTGATTATATTGTTGGTCTTTCACTTCTGTCCTGAGGCCAACCCAGTGCCTGGAAAAGGCACGAAGGATGGGGAAGAGAGGGGAAAACAAATCCAACTGCTTGTTGCTTTGGGGAATCTCTGAGAAGTTTCCAAATGTCAGGTTCTGTTTGCATGCTACCCAAATCCATCTTCCCGCCCCCGCCCCCACCCCACCCGGCCATAAAGTGCTATTATGACAGTGTTCATTCACAATCCATTCAAAGCTATCAAGACTCTTGCGGCCCGGAGGTGGTGCAGGAGGGAGCGTCTGTGTGGGTGGACTGACTGACAGGAAGGCTGGGGAGTACAACGGATGTGTCTTACTTTACAAAATGAACAAAACACATAAAATGCACGTCAGTGGCTGCAGTATAAAAGCAAACGGAGCCAGTAGCCATGTAGGATATGACCCAAGGATGCTTTTGGTGTTTGGACAGTGCGATCGCTCTGTCCAGCCGGGCAGGCGCATCCCGGGGACTTTGTCCGACCTGGCTGGGAGCCTTGTTGGGGGAAGCTGTGCTAGGGCACATCTCTCGAGAAGGATGTGGTCCTTGCCAGTCCAGCAGGACAATTTGCACTGTCACCCCAGCAGTCAGTGCGCCAGAGCGGACTTGGCAAGCTGTGGCCTGAGTCGCTGGCATACTTAGAAAGTCAAAGCTGCGTGCTGTGATGTCTCACCTAAAGCGAGCTTTCATACTGGCTGCAGAGTCCCAGGACTCCCCGCGGGGAAGAGTAGCAGTGGGAGGGAGTGTCTTCCTGATTCCTTCCCAGCCGAGAGCAGGCTAGTGCTGTGCATTCAAACAGTTTTCTAAACTATTTCTTGTAACAGCTCACCCCTCCTCACCCCTCCTTTGCTTCAAGCCCCCAGGCAGTAGGAGAGTGTGGGAACATTCAAAAGTGTGAGCGGGAAGAAGCGGGCATTGGCATGAATTCATCACTGCAGACTTTTCATCGCCACTGTGCCTGTGTGTGTGAAACACATTCCAGAAGAGGGCCTGGCACCCTTCTTGGAGGCTCCCCACTAGGCCTAGCCATCCGTCAGCATCCACGGGCTTGGGAAAGGCGGGGTGGGGGTGGTTTATAGAGAATCTCATAGAGAATGGGCTCTATCTCCAGCGGCAAAACTCCCTTTGAATTCCTAAGACCCAGCAACCTCTCCCCTCCCCCACGCTGCAGAGTCCGACTTGCCTCTTGGCAGAGCGTCATTACTCACCAAGAACGTGTTGCCAGACTGGGAGGAGGCAGGTCCCTTATCGCCGCCGAATGTGTTTGTTCATGTTTTTGTCTTTTTCCATGTGGCTATATTGCTAAGAAAAGGTAGCAACGAACGGATCCACAGCTGCCAAGTTGTTGTGCCCTAGAGGATTCCAGGCCCCTCCTGGCAGAGGGAGTTGTGGGGATCAGGGCTGGCCCTACGTAAGAGACAGCCGCTAAGATACTGCATGTCCCTGGAACTCTTTCACAGGGACGTGTAACATCAGAGCAAGGTGCCAGTGACAGCCCCTCCCCCACGTCTCACCAGACCAAGTCCTGCCTGTGAGGCTGAAACAAGGAACCAAGCCCTTTCAGCAAGGACCTGGTTTCCTAAGGATGCCAGCGAGCAGGGCTGGCAGCCATCCCATCCACGCCTTTTCTTCGTTTTCTTGAGCCTGCCTTTCCTACCTTTGCCACACCTCATCCCCGTAGCCTCTCTCAGTGGGGACATGAACAGACTCATTCCTGGATGTAACGATGTGCTGTCATTCTGCAACCTGTTCTCCCAAAATATAGCTTTCTTTCCTGTATGTGTGAGAGCAGCCATGCCTCCCTCAGTTCAGAGAATTGAGGATGGTCGGGGCTGCCCCACTCTGTTCTGAGAGTCAGCAGAGTGGGCTTGCACCCTCACCCAGGAGACTCACCCTCTGGCCTCCGTTTACCCAATCCAGTCTCAGCAATTAATAACACTCGCTACCCACCTGCTTCCACATACTCAGATCACCTTAGAAAACATTCGCTATGGAATGCATATGCATGACATGAAATGCAAAGCATCGTTTTTATCATTAATTTAAACTTACTGTATGACTTCGGGCAAGCCACTTAAGTTTGCTGGGTCTCAATTTAAATTTCTGTAAAATAGGAAAATGCATTGTAAAAACAGAGAGCTATCCCTAGACCTAACTAATTAGTGTTTACCAAGCACTCTGAGATGCTTAGATGAAAGGCATTTGGAAGATCGTTATCATAGTAAACATTGTTATTGACTGTCTATTGTGCCCTGCTGTGCATGAGGCATTCTACAAAACACAGAAGGAGTGATAGCCCTTGCTGGAGAGCATCATAAGTGTTGTTATTGAAGTTGAGTCCATGATGAGTCCAGACCAGGGTGATACTAAGTATAAAGTGCCTCTACGGGGACATAAATGACCTGTTGTCACAGGTACCACTTTGTAAAACACCTCTTCCAGAGGCCCTCATGTCAGCCGGTACTCTGAAGGAGCAAGTTTCACTTCCTGTCCGTGAGCTCTCAAGTCCCAAGTCTTCCCTGCTCACTCTAGTGAACATAGGCACCTCTGATGAACAAGCTCATCAAGATCTTTTGGTGTGGTGCTCCTTGTGCCAGCCAGCATGCGAGGGTGGAACCAGCAGTCCCACTTCACCGTGCCAGCCCAAGACAGAAAAAACGGCCCATTGTGCCTACCTGTCTAAAACCCTCCCAAGCCTATTGTGTAAAAAGGAAACTTGAGAAATGGCTGTAGGTTTCTACAGCGTGCAATTATTTCAGACCAGCAGGTAAGATCAACAGACTCCTGGGAGGCCCGTGACTGGAAACCCCACTGGTTCCTATTCCTTCCCAGACTGCCATCAAGCCAAAGGTCCTTTGCAAGCCTTTGAGAAGATTTTGGGCTCCTGAGTAGCTGATCTCTCTTCCTCCTCACTCTGATACCCTTTAATAGTATTTCTGAATTAAGATGGGCAAGAAGGCGATGAAGCGAAGTGTTTGCGAGCTTAGGTTTGAAAATACCAGCATTCAAATCTTGCTTCTTCTCCTCAATGGTATAATTTCAGTGAGTCACAGAAACCTCAGGGCCTCCAATTCTCCATCCGTAAATTGGAGGTAATAGTAATACCTGCTTCAGAGTGTTGTTGTGAGAAATAAATGAGATGATTCATGTCACTTAGCTCTTAGCACAGTGACTGGCTCAGATTAAGTGCTCCATAAGTGTTACCTGTTGTTATTGAAGTGACTCAACACTTTCCACTCTAAATTACACGCCCTCTTTCACCCCTTAAGTGTTAACTAGGTGTCTTCCAGAGACGGTTCTTGGTACCCTGACTTCTGGCTTGTTTTGTCTCCAAATGATCCATGGCCATGAATCAGGTGTATGATTCTTCCCGCATATGCTGACTTGGCAGCTCGCCTCCAAGACCCTTTAGGAGCTAGGAGTTGATTCTAGGAGTACACTTGCCAGCTAACATCACTTCTGCAAACAGCAAGCTCAAAGGAACACCATATGCAGGGCAAGACCCTGGTCCACTTCCCAGAATCACCCATTCTTCATTAACTTCCATCTTCCCCTGCTTCCCACTACCCACAACACAACGGTTGCCGCCCTGGGTCTGGCAGGGCCGGACTTTCTCCCTTCTTGGTTGAGCAGCATGCCAACCACACACATTCCTGTCTCACTTGCCCTACCTCAGCGAGAACACACCTGCCACCTCCAGCACACAGACCAGGTGACTGTCTCCCAGAAACTTTTTCAGCTGGTGTTGCAAGCAACCGAGGGGGAAAATGAGGTCAGAGAGCACACGGGGGAATTGGGGCTGGTAGAAACCAGAAGGAAACCAGCCCCCATTTCTGAGTCTCAGCTGTTGTGTCCGGCAGCAAAGCCGTGACACAGACAGTGGTTTTTGCTACATTTGCAAAGGGACTGAACCATCCCAGGCCCCTACAAACAGCAGGCAGGTGCCACCTGGGTCAGCAGGGACCACATGGGGCAGATGGAGGGAGACAAAGGCAGGAACTGGGGCTGAGAATTCAGGAGATGGAGATGGCTCTCCAGCTTCACACACATTTGCAAACCTTTGGAAAGACCACATGGCCCCATATTGACTCTGCCCACAAAATCTCTTGACATACCTCCTTGCTAGTTACAACTCCCTCCCTTTAATTCCTTACTGTAGTGTTTAAGGATTGTGGTCAAATGGAGCAGGGTCTGTGCTGGGATTCAATTATTTGTTAGCTGTGAGGCCTAAGGCAAGTCACTTAACCTCTCTGACCATCAGTTTCCATTTTTGTATAATGGAAATAACAATAGCATACATATATCATAAGGCTATTATAAGATTAAAATGAGATAATGTATGTAAAAAGCTTAGTACACATGCCTGGTACATAATAGATGCTAATAAATGTTAGCAACAGCAAATAACAATAATAATAGAGGAGGAAGTCTGTTGGCATTGGATCTGGAGTTCTTTGCACCCACATATAAACATGCAGATATTGCCATTAAAATTTTAAGGAAAGGGAATAGCAAAAGTAAAGGGAGTTCTCAAAAAGACAAAACTGTAGTGATGGGAAACTGGTTTTCAGGGGTTGCCAGGGGTTATGGGTTAGGAGAGGATGTGACTCTATAAAGGGACAGCATCAGGGAGATGAAACTATTCTGTATCTTATTTGTGGTGGCAGCTAAATGAGTCTATATCTGTGTTAAAATTCATAGAAATATATACCACAGGG